CCTGTTCTGTCCGGAGTGCCCCAGGGATCTATCCTAGGGCCCCTCCTTTTCCTAGTGTATATTAATGATCTTCCCAGTCATGTTGAAGGTGTGTTCTTATTTGCTGACGATACTGCACTGCTCCGGTTCAATGAGTGTCTAGACAGGCTGCGAGACAGTCTCCAGCGCGGTATCAACGAAGTCCATCAGTGGATGACTACCTGGAGACTAAGACCTAATATCGCCAAGACTGAGATATTATTCCTGCCGAACTCAGAGCCAACCTATGCATTCACTCTTCCCGGATACCTCACAGACCTCACAGTGGTAAAACAACACAAGCATCTTGGTTTGGTCATTGACTCAGACTTATCGTTTGGTAGACATGTCGACCATATCTGTAGCAAAGTCAGTAAAGCTGTTGGCTACCTCGTGTCTCACTGCTCCCACCTACCGCTTGAATGCATTCGCCTTTTTTATCATTGCTATATTCTCCCCATTTTTCTCTATTGCTCAACCGCCTGGTCATCCCTACTAAGTAAATCGTTAATGAGTACCCTGGAAGTCCACAATAAGAGGATACTCAAAGTCCTTTTCCGCAAACCATCATACTTTCCTTCTGCCGAGCTGTATGATATGTTTAACACCTTCCCTATCTCTAGTCAAGCGGATCGAAAACTGTGTATTGTTGTTCATTCTATTCGTCTTGACAAAGCCCCGCCACACTTGCGTAAATATAACTGGTTTCTTCCCACTCGTCCTACGCGCAATCCCTGCACTTTACCTAAAGCCCGAACATCAGCTTATACCAGATCTCCGTGTTTCGCTGCCTATTCTCTCTGGCTGGCCCTGCCTCTATCAGTAAAATCGTCTTGTACGCTAAACGATTTCAAGGCCAACATGAAGCTCGTGTTCTAATAACTGCTAATTCTTCATCCAGATTTGTTTCTCTTTGCCTCCAGTAATGTTTATTTATTTATTTATTCAACATCTCCTGGCCCGTCCGAAGACTGCCAATAAACATGAGAGGTCAGGTGATAGCCAACCACGGCAAGCTAAAAGGGAAAAAAAGAAAGAAAAGAAAGATGCTGTCAGAGAGGGAAAGGAGATAGGGAGAGAAAAAGAAAGGGAGGCACATTAATAATACATGGGATCACTTCGGATGAGACAGTGTGGAAAGCTGGACTGTGAATTTCCTGATATCCTGGCATGTCTTAATGCTAGTAGGCAGGTTAGACCAAAGGGAGTATGCTGAGAAGAAAGGGGATTTCAAAAACAGAGAGGAACTAGCTCGGGGCAGTGATAAGGCATTGCGTGTTGGTCTAGTGGTAACAAACCAGTTGTACTTGGCAATATGTTTCGGGACTTGGGCTAGGAAGATTTTTTGCACAAGGATACAAAGATGCTGCTGATGTCGGGCAAGAAGAGGGTGCGTGGAAGCAAGTTTATAAAGACAAAGGGAGGCAAATGTTTGGTCTTTTCGAAACAGAATTTTCAGAAGCAAGCGTTGATGTACCTCCAGTCTGTGGAGTAAAGTCTGAGACAACCCGCACCAAGCTATATCGCAATAGTCAAATATAGGCAAAATGTACGACTTAAAGAACAATTCTCTGCAGTTATCATTCAAGTGTTGGCAGTGGGGTTGTAGCATACCTAAGGACGCACTCGCACGCTTGCACACAGACTGGACTTGTGGAGACCAGGAGAGTTGGCGGTCGAGAATAACGCCCAGGTGCTTGTGCTCGTTAACAACTTTAATAGGTGTACTATTTAGACCAGGAAAATACAGAAGTTGAGTGGGGGGCGAGGGAGAGAAGAACATGGCCTCGGTTTTGGCGAGGTTAGGCTTCAGTTTCCAGGTTTCCATCCATGTTACTGTAGCGTTGACCCGGGACTGCATGGAGGCTGTGAGGTTGTCTGCCGAGCTGTCGGAGCACATCAGAGCAGTGTCGTCAGCAAAAAGACTTACATTTGGTACAAGGGCTGGCAAGTCATTAACGTACAGTAGAAATAGGAGCGGCCCAAGTATGGACCCCTGGGGTACCCCAGACACGACTAGTAATGGGTCTGATAGGGAGGTAGATACTCTGACAGTCTGGTGGCGGCAGGAAAGATAGGATGAGAGCCATTGCAGGGCTGGACCGTGTACCAAGAAGACGGACTCTAGCTTTGCAAGCAGACCACGATGCCAGACGGTGTCGAAAGCTTTCGCTAGGTCAAAGAACACGATGCCAACATGCCGCCTGAGGTTCCGCTGTGTGTAGATGTCTTGTACTAGACGTGTTAGTTGGAAAGTTGTGGAGTCTCCACGGCAGAAACCGGATTGAGATGGTGAAAGCGCTGGGGTGACGTGGCAGTACAGAGACTCAAAGAAAATACGTTCACAGACCTTGGACACACCGGGAAGGAGAGAGATTGGTCTGTAGTTGCCAGCCTGAGAGCGTTGGCCTTTCTTATAGATCGGGACGATAACAGCAGATTTCCAGACGGACGGAAATACTCCTGTACGATATGACATGTTAAAGAGCAGGCACAAGGGATAGGACGTGTATAATATTTATTTATTTTTGCTTTGTTTTTGTTTACTGCCATGGCTGGATACCACCCCCCCCCCCCCTCCCTCCATATTGGCCTATATTCTCTGGCCACGGGAAGGTGAAATAAATAATAAATTATAATAATGCCATTTGTACAGATCCACGAAATCCCGTAGAATCCCGTAGACCCGGTAGGGTGTTTATTGTGTGCTATGCATGCGCATTTGACCTTTTTAGCGTCATAATTCAATAACCAGCTATCGCTTTTCCAGCTTCTTCACTTTGGTTAGAGCTAATGACTAGCTAGATCTTTGTCAGAAAAAAGGTTTTCGTATGAAATGCCTTCAGGCCCCATTTCTTAGTGGAAATAGCAGAAAACACAATAGGGTCCTGCACGTTCAACACCCTACAGGGTCTACGGGATTCTACTGGATTTCGTGGATCTGTACAAATGGCATAAGGTCCATTACATCCGACTGATGAGAAAGTAGTTTGTACATGTTCCTACATGCACATCATACATGTATGTAGATGAAGAGGATGTTCATGCTTCCACAACTCTGACAGGCATTTTTCACTAGTTTGCGTACCGGAGGTACATGGAAGTACATTATTGTATTGTCCATTTGCCATGCGTCACGTGGACACACACACATACACACACACAAGAAACAAACAATCAAACGTGTATAAAACAGTCACACTCTCTGACTACACTCACACACACACACCACACCACACACACCACACACACACACACACACACACACACACACACACACACACACACACACACCACACGCACACACCACACACACACACACACACACACACACACACACACACACACACACACACACACACACACACACCTCAGACCTCAGACCTGCCCATCGCAGAAGCAATGATAGCGAACAGCTATGTTACACATAGCAACTAGTGCTCGGATTACACCATTCAACAGCTTGCAAGGCTGATGAACTGACCGCCACTAATTTTAGCCTGGTATCCACCACACAGCTGATTGAAGTAGCTTTTTCTGGCCAGTGAATCCCAATTTTTTTATTTCTTCATTTTTTATTCTTTTTCTTTTTTCGACACATACACACACACACACACACACACTCCGCAAACCACATTGATCCTTATCCTGTTTCGTGGCATGGTTGAGCGGGGGGGGGGGGGGGGGGGGGGGAGAGGCGTACAATTGATCGCGTACAAGTGATCGCGAGCAAGAGAAAATCCTCAGCGGATAATGTATGCAGAAAAATTGGCAGAATTCGGTACATTTTCTTGTTTGTTTTGTGCATGTCTGGGCACATGTACAGTATGTGGATCATGAAATGGAGCAGAATTCAAGAAATTGCCTGCAATACGGGGGGGGGGGAGGGGGAGGATACAATGTCAAATCATGGTTCCGAAGTCCAAACGGACCTATTCCTTGCTTCTGATCGATGTCCCCCCCCCCCCCCTCCTCCCCACACGCGCAGGTGTATATCGTGGATCTCACAGGGACCAGTTCCACATTATAATCGCTGCGAAGTTAGTTGTGGAGCGCGTTTACCCCCTGTTTTTAAAGTTCATGTCCTACCACATCCAAATCTAGCGTCCCTTGATAGTTCACTTTCATGGCTAATAGTCGCATGGTCTCTTGTCCCAAGAGACCTCTGCGCTCTGTGCTTTCTCCACACCACTTTTGAAAGCTATCTTCTCTTTTCTCCCTTTCCATTATCGTAAAATATTTGGCATGATCGTCCGTTTGATGTACTATGTGAAACAGAATAACTACACTGAATCCCTTAGGTTTTTAGTTAGGTCGCAACTACATGTAGATGCAAGTACAGTCTGTTGGGTCCCCAGGCAAAATATCAACACCAAATCAAGAAAATTGCACTCAGAAATTGGGGAAATTGTATTGAGAAGGTATGGCATTACATGATGTAGAGAATCCCATTTTTAAAAGTGAATGTCCACTTGAAAGCTTTACTCAAAGCTCCAAGTTGGATACAGGATCGAACGACCGCACGGCACGAGGCCAACTCTTTTCTCTTCCACAGTATATTTCACTTCATCAAATAATTAACAATTAACACTAATAACACCAGCTATTTATAGCATGCAAAAACAGCGTACATGTATATCAAAACATACACATATAAAACATGACATGACAGCGTATACCAGTGGTACACTGCAAACCGCACACAGCGCATATAGCGTATGCCATGCAGCAAACATCAGCGGTACGGCGGAGTCGAAATACAACATTGCAACGAATACAATGCCATAAGCGCGAAGGCCTTTCCCACTTGAGAACTGGTGGTTTGCGACACAAACAAACTTCGGATATAAAGAACTAATTCTACTCCAAAATGGTGGTCCCTACATCAGGAGTCGACTGCATAACATGCTCCATTCTGGTGGAGTTGTTTAACCTGCTTCACTTCAGGAAAAAAGCACTCAGGCCAAAGATAGACTCGGAAGGAGAGCCAATGATTAATAATTTATAGTAAAGAAAAGCACAGCTAAGGTCAGCTTTGTGCAATGTTATCGCATGAGCTGATTGTCAAGTAACTGGGGTGTTAGTGAACATTATAGCATAACTTTTCTCGCTCCACATATACTGGCACACACAGAGACATAGACAGCAATAACGACACTACACAAAGTGAAGGGTAGTTGGCCGAAGCCAGATATGAACCGGATAATGAGTGAGGTATGGAAGCAAGGACTGAGAACAGAGTGTCTCAGATAGAATAGCCGTGCCAGTGGATAGCAAAAATAGGCCATGATTCAGAACCACTTGGGACCGTCAGATTAATTTTTCTGAACCGAGCCAGCAGGGAAAAAACCCTCGCGCCGACGTACACAGTTGTGAGGGATAAAAACCGGGTGTATATCCCCAATGGCGATTAGGCATCATGTAGGCATGGTAAGCACATCACGGCAAAAAGTGATAAAATAGCAATGATAATAAGCACATAAATGAAGTGTGGGAGGGCAGGGACACTGGTAAGACTCAAAACTGACAGAAGAAGTCAGGAAAAGAAGCGACAATAAAGAACACACCAGATGCCATATTTGCAACAAAAAATATTTCGCGAGAAATCAGTTCTCGCCTATCTCGCTGCGCTCGGCCGGCGAGAAATACAACGTACTTCCTTGGTCCCTTTCTTTACTATAAATTAACTTAGCCCAAAGATGCCATCTCATCATACCAACTGACCTGGCTCCTTCAATAATGATACGACGATCATGAGTTCACTGCTTCAAAATCAACTTCAAGGTGAACATAAAAAAAACATCTCCATCATTTTGCGAGAACTGTGGCAATACGCCCAGTGAGAAGGCATTTCTCCTGTGCCTATGGGGAAAGAAAATGAAGCTAACCAAACAAACAAATACTAGTAGCATGAGCTCCAGTGTGGGGAGCAAACCCTTTTCAAACAAACATCACCATTGTAATAAATACTACTGCAGTTCATTCGGCAGTACTACTTGCAGTTTGACCAGAGATGCAGTACCGGAGCTCAGCTGTGTGGCCAGCTCGCCATTTTCACACACGTATTCTCGGAGACACGGCCAATGGTCTTCATTTCCCACTGTGACAGCATCCGACTCATTCTTCGTAAACCCTTGACCAGTGAAGAGCTCCAAGAGGCGTAATTCACAGTAGAGAAAAAGACGCGTTTGCCAGGCCGAGCGAGGAGCTGCAAGTGCCATGAATCTGCTATAGTCCATTAACTGGCTGGGCAATCGTTTTATTGAGAGAAAATTCACGCCGTGCGCCTTCTCGTAATCGGCAACTGAGCGCGCACGGAACTCGCTCAGATGCCGCATCACGTCAGGCACGGCACCGGGGTAGAACTGGCGGCAGAGCTCCACGATACCGCTCCACGTTGCTGGCACGCACTTGGGCAAGTGAGCGTCTGCGGGTTTGTCATGGGGCACGTCTTGTTGATGAGCCTGGGCAAGAGCAGCATGATGACTGTTATCACATTTGACAATCTTGGCCTGGAAGAACAGCAGCCATGCATCATTCTTGTCCACCTCGCACTGCACAGGGACAAGCAAAAGATCCGGAAGCAAAGCACACGCATCAAGTTTTCAGGCACTGCAAATCGTCATCATTCTGCATCCATAACAATCGGGTGATGTAGACTTAGCACCGTCACACAGCTGTGAGTAAATATGCATAATGTAAAGACGTTCGGTTAGGCCTGTGTTACGAACCGTATTCCGGAGTATGCACCGTTCCCAGATTTTTGCTACAAATCACAGACATCCACCTTGTTCATGACCACACAAAACACAGACATCCACCCTGTTCATGACCACACAAATCACAGACATCCACCGTGTTCATCACAAGTAATGCTGACGGCTGGGTACACGCCACTGGCCACAGAAAGGTGGATTCTTGTCATACGTCACTGGAATTGTAGAGATTATGGCGAATATCTATCACTTGTCCTAGTTGACGTTTACCGTATTTTCCCGAATATAAGTCGACCTTCTGTGCGCCAGAAATTTCGCCAAAAGCTGGGGGCCGACTTACAAACGGAACTCGATTTACATACGGGAATCTGGCACAACAAATGAAATGACTGCAGTGTCCGTACAAAAAAGCACTGCCGTATGAACCATGTGAACTTTCGTCCCGCGACTGACACTGGTTTTGTTCAGATTTTGTCTTACTGGCATGATATGATCTCTCCTCGCAGAGAACTCATTATTTTGTATGTGTGGGTGTCATGGAGCTATAAAAACTTTTTTTCATGAAATTGACTCCTGGATTTAGGGTGGTCGACTTATAATCGAAGTCGACTTATATTCGGGAAAATACGGTATACGCTTTTACACGTGCTTGCAGATCAGTATAGCTAAACATACTCTAAACATACTCTATGTTAACACCATACACTACAGTGGTGTACAACTGCACATACTACACACATTACAGCAGCATGGTAGATCACATACTACACACATTACAGGAGCATGGTAGATCACATACTACACACATTACAGGAGCATGGTAGATCACATACTACACACATTACAGGAGCATGGGAGATCACATACTACACACATTACAGGAGCATGATAGATCACATACTACACACATTACAGCAGCATGGTAGATCACATACTACACACAGTACAGGAGCATGGTAGATCACATACTACCCACATTACAGGAGCATGATAGATCACATACTACACACATTACAGCAGCATGGTAGATCACATACTACACACATTACAGGAGCATGGTAGATCACATACTACACACATTACAGGAGCATGGTAGATCACATACTACACACAGTACAGGAGCATGGTAGATCACATACTACACACATTACAGGAGCATGGTAGATCACATACTACACACATTACAGCAGCATGGTAGATCACATACTACACACATTACAGGAGCATGGTAGATCACATGCTACACACATTACAGGAGCATGATAGATCACATACTACACACATTACAGGAGCATGGTAGATCACATGCTACACACATTACAGGAGCATGGTAGATCACATACTACACACATTACAGGAGCATGCTAGATCACATACTACACACAGTACAGGAGCATGGTAGATCACATACTACACACAGTACAGGAGCATGGTAGATCACATACTACAGTCCATTCATTGGAAACTGGCACCCTTACTTTTTGTTGTCTCTCTCACATAGTTGTAGATATCGTGAAAACAACAGTACATCCTGCATTGTGTGACCCGTGCAATTACTCCTTGCCACATTTGAGGCCAGAAAAGTCCAAGAACAGGGAAATAGAAATTCAGCCAGGTTTTACAAAATTAGGACAGGTATGCCATAGCAAAATGTATGGAGAAGCAGATCCAAAACCCAGATTTTTGAGATTTTATAGTGGATTTTTGATCCTCAATTCGGCCCAAATCCGACTTTCAAAAGCCAGCGGGCCAGTTTCCGATGAATGGACTGTACACACATTACAAGAGCATGGTAGATCACATCCCATACAAATAACACGAGCCTGGACCTCGCTTATCCGGTCCTCTTTTATCCGGATCCCTCGCCATCTGGAAGAAAATCGTTGGTTACCGATTTACAGCATATGTCATGCATACATACAGTATGCGTGGTCGATTATCCGGTTCCCTCGCCTAACCGGATAATTTCGTAGAAAAAGGGTGTGTGCGGTTAAGCGAGGTCTGACTGTAGCTCGCATCCCACAAGTTGAAAACACTTCCAGGCTCATTTGATGCTGTTAATCATTTTTTTAAACAGGTACTGGTTTCCCGTATCTTTTACCTTGAGGGTGATGAACTCGCGTGTTAGACCGAGGGCGAGCAGGACATCATACGGTGACTTGCATGGCAGAACGCGGCAGGCAGTGTCTCGGCCGGCAACGAACGCCGTGCGCCGTCCTGATGCCTCACTCAGCCTTGTCGGCACAGTACCACTTTGTACCATGGACACCCTGCACATGACGTTTGCCGCAACTTCATCATCGGCGAGTCGACGTGCTGCTGTCTTTCCAGAGTAGAAGTTGGTTAGATGGTCAGCGAGGGCTTTAGCGTCCATAGTGACTAGCTGTGGCGAGCTATCTCAGTGACCTTGTATGGTTCTTCCATATGACTATCCAGTACACTGAACAGCTTGCTCTGCAGAGACAGAGACGGAGAGAGAGAGAGAGAGAGAGAGAGAGAGAGAGAGAGAGAGAGAGAGAGAGAGAGAGAGAGAGAGAGAGAGAGAGAGAGAGAGAGAGAGAGAGAGAGAGAGAAAGAGAGAGAGAGAGAGAGAGAGAGAGAGAGAGAGAGAGAGAGAGATTAGACTCCATAGCAACAAAGACAGAGATACGTAACGGAGAGCACACACACGCACACACGAACACATACAATGTAGAATAGAGCAACTGGGTGTCACTTACTGCTTGCGTGGTGGCGTGTTTGAACAGCAAACTCCAAAATCAATGTCATTTCCACAGGAAGACTACTGGTGTCTCCATGACTGCTGCAGTGAGTGCTATATGCTACAAGTTCAAATATCATGCTACATACTATTCACGGCTTGATTGTTTTGTTAAAATCTTTTTCTACGAGTAAAGTAATTTCAGCGTTTTCCTCATAAATTCTTTTCATACGTCAAGTTTCAATACCTTCACAAACACTGACAAGCATCATACAAATGGGAGCTGCCTCTCTGTACGTACCTAGAACTTTCTATTTTAGATCACAGCATTATTTTAAATTTTGTGCAATTGTCTGCTCCTCCACTACATGTCTACATGTACCAGTTTTTTTCATGCTCTTACCGTCACAGTGCACGCTACGCTGGGGTAGTTTGTACGAGTAAGATCAAAACACCGCTAGCTAACGAACGTCAACCGATTAGCAAAACACGACTCTCCTCTATGTAACTACCAGGGTCGACTCCATACAAGTAATCTGCAAATACCAGAAATACCTAATGGCCAACACCAGGCTATGCACTGCTCCAGTGAGTGTTACTGAATGAACTAGTAGTAGTACTACAAAGTCATGTAGTAGTCTTGCCTCTTGCTGTCTAGGTACTCGTACATCTACGATCGAGTACAATGACTGTAGACTACAGTCATTGTAGTCCGCCAATTATTTTCAAACGCAAACATTTAAAAAATAATGACTTTGTTTCAATTATTTTTGAAGTCAACATTATGTTCCCACCGAACAATACATGAGACTGTCACTTGAGACTGAGAGATCCTGATATATCGGGAGTCTACCATGGTCTACCCATGCGTGACCATGGTGACGAAGAAGCGTAGGGCGCGCCAAGGCCAGGGCAAGGTTCCTGCGGCGCTCAGATTGGTTATTCGAACAACGACGAGCATAAACACAAAATGTTCCGTACTACATGTAGTAGTACCACCGGTAGTAGAGTCTACTACCGGTAGTATACAGTAACATAACGACGTCAGTGCTAGTAGTGAGTCGAGTAGCGGCCTAGAGTCGTAGAGAGTAGAGCCTAGACTGGCTAGAGGCAAGAGTACAACAGGCTGCTGCCGTGCTGGGAAAGTTGAACACGCTAACGAGCGCAGTACGGATCCGACCTGGACTACAGACTACATGTACATACAGACTCACGTGAGTGCGTTCGATTTTGCCCACAAATCAATTAATTTTTTGAACCCATGAACGTGAATCCATTCATGAAACCATTCATAATCCATTCATGAATAGTATAATTCATGATGGATTATTTATTACTAGTACCAAGAGTACATAACCAAGAGTGTGCAACTCTACGATTCCCCAGCCCACAGCCGAATCCTTTTATGACATCAGTCTTTCATGGTCTTTGGCAGCGGTTTAGCTCACTGATGCCATCATGCATAGCCAGAGGTCAAAGTGCAAATAATATGTACATTACACCTACGGTAGTAGAAGCAGAACAACGGACGAAAGATCGACGTGTCTTGAACCTGACGAACTCTCACCGTATTTACAAAACAAGCGCCGGAAAGAATACCCACTTCATCATACTTCTGCCAAAGGATGAGGCAATAAAAAAATTCCGCCGTGGGTGAACCCATCGCAGCTCAAGATAGGAGTTTCACACTCTTGGTTCTGTACTCTTGCTAGTACGGCCCTTGCTATTCTCATCACCCCCTGTGTGAATAGACGTTATTTGATTACATCATCAGTTGATGCTTCAACGAAAAGGCTGCGGACTCACGGCACAGCGCTGCACTTGCTAGGGGTAAGTGGATTATGCGGGCATAATTTTTGGCATAATCAGGTCCTTTTTGAGAAGGAGCATACAATTGCATCGGAAAAAGAAGGGCCGATGCCCAATGAGACTGTTATACACATTATAATAATAAATAATAATTGAAGGCATAATTGCCTTTTTTAGAAGGAGCATAAAACGGCATCGGAAAAACAAGGGCAGATGCCCAATGAGGCTGTCATATACATGTACACACCTGCTATAGAAGGACCATACATTGCGCTTTTTGTCGATTTGGAATACTTTAGCAAGCACCGATGCCGACTACCTCACATCGCCGTGATTCTATTCCCCAGTCCACTCCATCACCAGGCAGTACATTTACATCTTCTGCTACACCACCGATGATGTCATCCAGCGCTTCCTCAGCTGAAACACCAGCTAGAGTGCCCAGACAAGGTTCAGCCTCAGATCAGACTACTTTGCCCAGAAACACGTTGTCACCATCACCATCAGCAGCAGCAGCAGCAGCAGCAGCAGCAGAAATAGCTGAATCTCCAACAAAGCAGGTAAGACTAGGTGTGTGTGTGTGTGTGTTTGTGTGTGTGGTGCTGGTGTGTGTGTGTGTGTGTGTGTGTGTTTGTGTATGTGTGTGTGTGTGTGTGTGTGTGTGTGTGTGTGTGTGTGTGTGTGTGTGTAACTAGGGTAACCCGGTAACTACCGGCATACCGGGGATTTCTGACTTTGATCGAAAAACTACTGGAATTGGAACTGAACCATGATTGTTCACAAAAACGCTGGTTTGTGGTGTGACAAGGGCACATGTGGCCCTGCTTTTCACAGAATCCCTTACGTAGGGGCGATCTGACAATGAAGAAATCCAAGCTTTGGTCCAATGAGCAATGGGTTAGAAATGAATAAAAAGAAAGAACAAAATTGCCAAAATATTGCGCACAATTCGCAAAATACTCAAAAATTGCCCGAAAAAGAGAAAATAGACGAAATTGGCAAAAACTAGCTAAATAAGAGAAATGAGAGAAAATTAGGGGAAACTGGTTGTGTGACTAAGGGATTTGATTTGGCTGGGTTGCCAAGTATGAATACAGGATTCCGTGTGGTACAGGGTCCGGCAACCAACGGTCTCAATGACCACCCAGCCAGGTTTGGGCCAATGGCATCACTACTTTCAACCTCTATGGTCCTAATGTCGATTGCTGTTGTTCCCACTGCTCTCCTGTATAGCAGCGTGATTACACACAGATCCA